GACTAAAGTGACTACACGAATTCACTTTAACCCAACAACCAACCCCAGTGACTACACGAATTCACCGGCGCGGGCTGGAAGATACATCAACAGTCACATCCAAGCACATGAACATTAACTTCCCCATCCCAACTCTTCTCATTTTTCTAGGTCAACCATAATCCTCATTGAAACTCGGGTTCACCACCTAACTCAGTCAACTCACCCACACATGTCACTAAGTCTGTTCATGACGCACGAGGTCACTAAGTCATGAACTACTAATGGTTATCAATCACAGCAAATAATAACAAAACAACTAATCATATACAATAATATCATGGCAAATCAGGTAATCGAAATTAAGAGCCATAAATTTATGAACAACCAACTATGTAATTTAGAAAAATAATCTTTTCCAAAATAATTTATTTTAAATTATTGCAGTCTTCCTAAAATGATTCCTTTCACAAAATAAATTCTTTTAAAACATCATAATTTCAAAATATAATTCTTTTGACGGAAATAACTTAACTCAAGATGACCTCTTTTCCGAGATAAATACTTTGAAATTATCTATTCTAATAATTATTCAAAACCAACCCATTTTTCCAATTAATCTTTTTCTCATCATAATAGTTCTAAAAAAAAAATCTTTAAATATATTCTTTCTTTTAAAAACATCCCAAATAACAATTTTACACAAAATACTTATTTCTTTAAATTACTTATCTAACATAATTATCAATATGATCATCAACAAGCCCACGCAGTTAATAACAATTCACAATCTAATCTATGCAACTAATTAATGGCAGATATAAATATGAAATAACGAGTCAAGAGGAGCGGGATCTTGCCTCGGTCGTCGAATCTGGAGTTGACGACGGCAGTCGGCATTTCGTCGAACAGGTGGTGTGCGATGAAGGAGAGGCGTTGGGCGGCCGGCGAAGTGGCTGAGGGAGCTCGACGGAGTTGGGTAGTGGTCGCTGGTGGTGGCGGAGAGAGATGGGGGTGATGACGACGGAGCAGGGGCTGACTAGTCGGAGACGAGATCGACGGCGCGGGGGCGACGGATCTAGGCGGATGGCTGAGGAAGCTCGACGGAGTTTGGTAGTGGTCGCTGGTGGTGGCGGAGAGAGATGGGGGTGATGACGACGGAGCAGGGGCTGACTAGTCGGAGACGAGATCGACGGCGCGGGGGCGACGGATCTAGGCGGAGTTGGTGGTCGGAGTTAGAGGTGAGTCAGCGGCGAGGGAGGAGCAGAGGGGAAGAGAGAGGACGAGGACGCTGGAAGAGGCGGATCTGGCGGCGTCGACGGGGCAGGGGGTGGTGCTGGCGACGGCCTCGGAGGTCAGCTAGGTGTGTCGTCGGAGCTCGAGCAGGCAGAGGATGGAGAGCGGTGGAGGTTCGACGGAGGCGGCGGTGGTCAGGCGAAGGCGTCGGGTGGCGTGGGTCAGGCCGACGGGGTGGAGGCGACGGAGGTCGGGGTGAACAGGGGGAGGTGGTTGGCGTGGTGATGGGTTCAGGGAGAAAGAGAGAGGAGAGTGATGATGGTGGCGGCGTAGAGGATGAACAGGAGAGGGGTTGCATTTTAATATACATATATATAGTGTAATATTAGGGTTAGTTGTGCTATTACAACAATTGATACGAAAAAGTCGAAAAATACCCATATTGTATAATTAAACAAGAATAATTAATAATAATAATATATTTACTTATATTAATAATTATCTATAATTAAAAACGTACATGTTATGCTATTACAACAGTTAAAATGAAATAGTTAAAAAATACCCATATTGTATAATTAAACAAGAATAATTAATAATAAAAATATATTTACTTACATTTAAAATTAAATAATTATGGGATAATTATATACACAGTAAAACGTACAAGTTATACTAATACGATAGATAATATGTAACAGTAGAAATAATATAATAAATTATACCAGAAACACGTATTTAATAATACCATGTATTATATGAAATAATTTGTAATAATATTAATAATACAATATATTATTTAAAATATTACATAATAGTACCGATAACACAACAAATTAATTCTAGAAATTTTTACCGCACAAAATAAATTTATAAATACCAAAATCATTTAAATAAATATATAATCAGATTTTTAAATCATAGAAAATTATAGAAAATCGAGAAAAATACAAATACTCTTTTATAAATAATAATTAAATATTTTAAAATGCTAGAAATTTATTTTAATTAGTATCAAAATTTCACGGTCATTACACACCATGGCCAAACTCTTTTCTGAGAAATAAAGTGGGAATGATACGGTCAAGGAATACATCGAAAGGTATCATAACTTGACATTGCGATGTCGAGATATTCCTCTACGGATGCTAGTTCAAACTTGCCGGCACAATTTCATGGTCATGAATTAAAGCTCACATGGGCGCTATTACTGTCCACACTTGGAAGGATTTGATGGAAAAAGCTGAGATAGCTGAGAAGACATCTGAGAATATTAACAAATTCGAACCTCACACGAACTTCAAGGGAAACAAAGGTAAATATGGGCATACATCATAATCGAAAGCCAAAGAGACATTCACAGTTAGAGTTCAAAATCCCAACAACAACCAGCAAAGAACACCAAGGAAGAACTTCTAGCATAATTACTCATTTAAGGATGAACATACAGTCGCCATCTTCCATGTCCTCAACAAAGAGAATCGTTTGAAGCTTCCAGATGCTCGACGCCCTAAAGAAGTCGAAAAGACCAATGATTACAACTACTAACTCTATCATAGAATGTTAGGGCACCTAACGAAAAACTACCACATCTTCAAGGATAAGATCTAGACATTCATTGAATCAGGAATTCTTAAGCTCAAACCCGAGCAAAAGCAAGTCACTACCAATATGATGACCCTCCAAATTGACTTCATGCTAGAAATTCAAACCCAAGATGGTGGTTAACTATGACCGCCAAAACCAGCAAAGACAAGGCTTGATTCCTCTTACTACGACAAGAGGAGAAATAATGTAGGTACATCTCGATCTTCTTCAAGATGAAGATTGGACTCTTCAGAAATCTAAGAACAAGCAAAAGACGAAGACTTGCAACGCCATCTCCATATTTATTGAAGAAAAACTTACGCACGCCACTTCATTCACTGACTCAGATGGAGAGAAAGTGGCCATAACAGAGAAAATATCCGACAAAGATTACCTAAGGGATTACAATCAGCCATGAACGTCCAAATAACTCGACCTAGCCAAACAAAAGGAGATCCGGTTTGATAAAGCCTTACAACGTCCTCTAAGTGACCCTAAGATAAGATATCATGGCACAATTGGCCAACATTATAGTTTGTATTACCTTATTCGAACTATTGCATTTGTCTAAAGATATGAGAGAGGCTTTGAAAGAAGCCTTGAATGATAGTGAGGCATTCCTCGCCTACATGACCGAATCTCCTCAAGATGAAGGACCCGAGTAATACTATCAATGCCAAAAGCAGTTGTCGCACATCACCTTCACCTCAGAGGATATGCTGGTTAAGGATCATCATCTTTCAATAATCTTTGCAGCATAAGGCAGTTAAGAAGGAGGCCATGCACTTTAAAGTCTTCATGTTTAATAAACAGAAAGCAAGTCTCAGATTGGAACTCAGGTTCCTTATGAATAAAAGTTTGTTCTAACTCAACCAGTTCTTCTTTAAGAATTTCCTTAAAGCTAATATTCATAGTTAAAGTATGATAATCCAGTTGTTCCATATTTTTTTCAAACATATAAGCTCATTAGTGAAAAGTTCTTCAAAACTAAGATCAAAGAAACTTGTATCTAACTTGGTTCTTCTGTTCTAAAGGACTTATTATGATTCTAATTTCTCTAGTATTTTTAGCTCCTCATCAAAGGTTTCCTCAAAACTTGGGTCTGACTCACTTTCTTCTTTGGGATAACATGTCTTAAAGAATAAACGGATTAAGATTTGCTATTTCTTTGGTTTTAAAAATTAGTTCAACATAGATTAATCGATTGGTATTATCCCTAATCCACTCTTGCATAGACCAAAATAATGTCTATTTAGACTTTTTTAACTAAAAGGAAATTCGGAAAAAAGTTCTGAGCAAAACAAAAGTTAGTTAAGTTAGTTTTTTAAAATAAAAACTAAAAGACCTAAAAGATTAATGAGAGAAGAAAAGAAAGAACTAACTAAAATAAATCAAAAGCAACCACTTTGAGATAATCACTCTTAATTCTAGGGTTAAGTGTAGACTCAATTAGACCAGCTCCTAACCAAAAACTCCTTGAGTGAAAATATTAAAGTTTACACGGTTAGTTAGCTAGGTAAGAACAGTACTAGAAGTAGACCAAAGACTAACTAAGTACATGTTTCCTTATGGAGTACTTTACACAACCTCTAAACCTTGCCTCAGACACCAACAAATTTAAGTAAACTTAAATCTGTTCACTTAAGAAATTATTGTTCCTTAATGAGCTCGAGTCTTTAGGAGTAAATGTCTAATGAGTTTTAAAAGGCTTGGGTTTGTATAGAGAGGAACTATTGATTTGTAGGCTAAGTAAAAAGCGATAAAATCTCTCACCTTATATTGATTAGGGGATATTGCCCTTAAGAGTATTTTCAAGTTTGTATCAAATCAAGATGCTCAAATCACTTGAGGCTGCGTTTGGGAACTAAGATTTGGATTTGGAATGTTGATTTAAAATCAAATGATTTTAAATGTAGGATTTGAAATCCATGATTTGGTAGAATCTTTTGTTTGGATGTCATTACAAAATACAAGGATTTAAAATCAAAGATTTGAAATATAGTGTATGGCTACATTTTTTATTATACATGAACTTGGATTTCAAAATTGGTGTTTGAAGAAAATTTATGCTTTCTTTCAACTCCTCAATCTTTATGAGAACATTAAGGTTTATGATATCCAATATATAAACTATTATTATCTTCATACCATCACTATTATTATCTTCGAATCATCACCATTTAATTTCACAACAAAAGGAAAACAATGCTACCATCAGCTGGATCCTAGAATATCAATTCCAATACATGTACGTCACGGGAAAACAAAAACATCCAATACAAATATGGATCCATATTTCCAAAAAACTCCCTTTTCTTCTCAATAACAAATAAAATAAAACTACTACTCCTCACTGACACCTGAAGAAAAATCTGAATATTATACAATGGCATTGTCTGCACTAGCAATACTAGGCCACAAATCAGCACACTCCTTTCCAATTGGTCCAGTATTTACAGATCCTGAAGAAGCAGAAAACATCGATTGATATATATTAGATAAAGAAGCAAAAACAAATTTATGCATTACAGTAACTTTTATGCAACATTCATTCACATGATTGGTGTGTTCCATTGAAATTTAGGACAACACATCCTATCAGTAACTAGCAGAGACTAAAAAGAAAAAGGTAAAATGATACATTCTAATACATGTTAGGCCCAATGATACTTAGCCCCAACGGTTGGAACCGTTGGGGCAAATATTAGCCCCAACGGTTAGAACCGTTGGGACTAATATTTGCCCCGACGGTTCCAACCGTTGGGGCCTTTATATAAATAAAAAAAATTAAAAATCAGCCAAAAATATGGGAAAGCTGTTGCACACATGAAAATTAGCAGAGAACCTACTCGGATGTAATTACTAAGAGATGTGTCCGCATCCATAGTTTGGATAGCTAGTGCTGCATGGAAATTGGAGTTCAACACTTAATTTGAGCTGGAAGGACAAAGTATTTCCTAAGAATACATATACAAGATAAACAACTACAAAATCAAGAATAAAATTAAAAAAAAGAAATACAAACTTATGGTAAAAGCCAAATGTCTCTGGAATGAGAATGATGGTCTATATCCTGCTGCAGAGTAGACAAATATCCATTTGCAGGGGCAAGCAAACAAGGGAGCACATCAATCTGAAGGCATAAAATTTGCAGAATTAATGTAGGTACACAATCCACAAAGAATCCATGTGTATGTTGTGTATAAGCATAATCACAGTAAATATGAAAAAGAACAAAAACTATATCAGAAACACTCCATGATCATGCAGACTAAAGAAAAGTTAGAAGAGCCAAAACAAATATAAAAGCTACACTTAACAAAATGAGATATATTAAACAACTATTCTTAAGAAAAGTTAGAAGAGCCAAAACAAATTACCAGTCTATTTCAAACATAAAACCAAAGGAAATAAAATAACCAGGGAAAAGGCTTAGGATAATGTAAACCAACAGGAGAAGTACAATGCAAGTAATATTGCCTGTTGGCAGCCATTGAGACTCCCTCTAAAAGCAGCATATACAATGCAAATTGTGCTCCTCTCTCCCGCCGCAATCACACAACAAGCATATATAGTCCAAATCATCATGATATCCTTTTCACAGTAAATAAAGATGATTGAAAGACCAATTAACTAAGTACTAAAGATAAGGCCAATATACAAATGACTAATTTAGTTTCTTAATTAGGGAGAATTGTCACTTTCGGCAGTTGAAGCCACTCTAGCTATAAGGAGCACGAGGAAATACACTTTTTGAAGTGAACTATGGTAATGATTACATAATGATTACAAAATTAGTGAAAACCTTTTAGCTCGCACTAACACCATTAAATGAGGTCCAAATCATCTTCAAATTCAAAAGTAGGAAAAAAAATTGCACTAAATCAGCACCATCTTTTTCCTTCTAATTTGTGCCTGCTTATGCTTAATCCTGGATAAACAAAGAAGCCTCGAATAGCTGAACCAGTTACTAAAAAATATTCTCCAAGTTGTGCTGACATGAATTAGTTTATAAGCAAAATATACTACTTTTAGACCATTAATGAAAAATAAAGCAAATAAAGAGATAGAGAAGAGTGGGGAGGAGCAATATGAAGAGGGCCTTCCAAGAGACAATTGAATATTTTGATGTCCAGCTCAACAAACCTCTATAGCATATGCATGAATAATATCCAGAAAATAATGCAGTAACAATTGCCATTCAATAACTTGTACTCAACCTGAGGAGTGCATTCAATGCGATGTTGAATACTTACCAAAACTAATTCATTAGCAAAACAATAAAACATAGAAATAAAACAAAACTCACAACTTGATTAATCATTTTTGGATTTTTGTGAATTGGAATGCAAGGCAGCAACGCAGAGTGCTGGAATAATATCACGATCTATCCTATAACAGCATTAAGGTAATGCTTTTCATATTGAAAGATTGAATATAAAGGGAATAATTTGGTCCAGGAATGTTGGTACTATGAGATGACAACCTATAAACTAAGCAATCTATTTTGATAGGAAAAACTTCATACTGTTAAAGCTCATATAAAAATGGCACTGCAGGTACTCGTTCACTTTAGATGATGAATCATACACTATGCACCCAAGAAACATAGTAATGAAACATCATGCTCTTACTGAGCATAACCAATTTTAGATCCTACAGATACTTTAAACTAATAGTTCAGTATAACACATTTAAATCCGTACAATAGATTTCTTAAATCTGTTCACTTAAGAAATTATTGTTCCTTAATGAGCTCGAGTCTTTAGGAGTAAATGTCTAATGAGTTTTAAAAGGCTTGGGTTTGTATAGAGAGGAACTATTGATTTGTAGGCTAAGTAAAAAGAGATAAAATCTCTCACCTTATATTGATTAGGGGATATTGCCCTTAAGAGTATTTTCAAGTGTGTATCAAATCAAGATGCTCAAATCACTTGAGTGAATTCCTACTAATTATATGCAATGTAATCCTATGAATTAAAAGCAACTATAAAGGATGCCAAAAGAAAAATATATTATTTTTTAATTAGGGTCAATAAACAAACAAACAATTGTGAGAGAAAAAGCTTTTATTTGGATTTTTTATCTTATTAGTAGTTTTTTAAGTGGAGGGTGGATTTTATTAGGGTCGACAAATTTTTTTTATCTTTTATTTTTTGTTTTAATTAGCTCTTAATTGTCTCTAGTGTGAAAAGTCTAACTAGAGGGTGGAATTAAAAAGACTAGAAAGAAAATTTACCTTTTCAAGCAAATCTTCTCTCTAAACTTCAACATTCTCCTTCAAAGTTGTTCCTTCACACTAAAACACATAAATTAAAGAACCAAAATTGAAAAATCTTAATTATAACCACCTTCCTCAACAAACGACACTAAAATCTTAATAGGGGATAAATAATACAAAGTTTTAAGTGCACAACTATCAAGTTATAATATAAAAAGATGTCAATCTCATGAGAAAGGTGTAGTAGGAAATGATCAAGATTGGTTCCTAAGTTGTGTGTTGCATGGACAATTAAGAGTGATAATGTGAATGTGGAGAGATATAGGAAAAGTGCTGATTAATTGCAAATAAAACAAAACTAGATTGAGGGGGGAGAAAGAAACATAAAGAAATTAGATATAAAAATAAAATCAAGAAATAAATAAGGGGAAATTAAGAATAAAGAGTAAAATCACAATAAGTAAAAGATGAAGAAGATCAATTAGAAAATGAAGAAGCTAGAATTGAATCCACTAATTGAATTCATTTAGAAATTATGAACTATTCTCTTTTGTCACATTTTACCTTTAGATTTATTAAATATAGACTACGAAACAACTTAAGAAAAGTATAATCTATTAAATTATCATCCGAGTAAAATTAATCATGAAAAGAACAATAAGTAGATACTAATTCTAGATTCATAAACATAACCTATAAAACCACTAAAGATAAGCATAGATTATTAAATTCTTCTTTTACCAATTAGTTCTCTAATTAATTATCCTAAACATAATCATTTTAAGCACAAGAGAGCAATTCATATATCATAAAAGAAATCAAACTACTTTCATACAATTCTAGAACTCCTAGAAGATTTTAGTTCCACATTTTAGGAATTACAAACAAAGAAATAAAATCTAGACTATAAAGAATAAAAGAAAGAGAATGAAAATAAAAACTAACTATAAAGAGAAAAATAAGAACAAAGAAGTAAAGATCTAAATTTAAATAAAAAAACTCGAGCATTTGACTACTAATTATTTTAGCAAAATCAAAACAACTTGACGTAAAAGTGAGTTCATGTAGTTGATTGCAATAAAAAATACTTTAAAGATGGTTAATGTATAAATTAACAATAAAAGGTGATTTGTATAGAATAGCCTTATTTTGAAGATGGTCCATTAAAAATTACAAATATGCTAAACATATTCGGATTTACCAAGCAGAGAACTCGAGCATGAGGTGGTTGATGTTTGGAACAAATCTTTTTACTTAATGTAATAAAACTGACAAAATTTATATGCTAACAAGGAGCATATGACTGCTTGGGTGCAAGTAATGTTACGTGAATGTGGCAGCACACAGCCTGGTGCGAATCCTGGCAAGGCTTATATCATTCTTATTTTTATTTTTTACATTATCAACGTCTTCGCCTAGATCAGATCCGGTCGTTTTTAACTATTTTCTCAAACCGAAGCGAAGCGAACTAGATTCAAAACCAAACCGAAATCAATTCAGTACAGTTCGGTTCCGTTTGTTCAGTAGAAATGTAAAGTTAGAGAATTTTTAGCTAATAAAATATAACTTTTACTCTTTTAAACTTTCACTCATCTCATATATCAAACTGAAGAGAAAATCACCAAATCAACGACTTTACAGACTAAAATAAAAATTTATCAATTAACATGTATAAAAAATTTGTATAAATTATCTATTCATCTTGAATAAGTATAATTAGTTTTATGCAATTATGTTGAGAGCGGTCGATTCGGTTATTTCAGTTTCAAATACTTAGAACCGAACTGAACCGTAGTTTTTCAAAATTCGAACCAAACTGTAGAAATTCGAACAGTTTAATCAGTTTGCACTAAACTATGCTCACCCCTAATAGCTAATCATCAAATGCTGAGAAATCTATTTAGAACTCAATAAGTACCTTGATCATAGGATTTAGATTTAACTTTAATCAATATGATCAACAGCATGCACACGCGGATCATAAAAGTATTAAAATTATACATAGATCAAAAATAAATATTGATCTGAAAACAACCGTAAAACTAACAAAAGATTTTCCACAAATCCAATCTCACACATAACTAGACAATCCATACTTAAAAAAAACGCTAGTGAAGCGTTCTCTTATTTCGTCTTTATTCATGCAAACCAGCAAGCGTATATTCCATTGAGGAATTCTTACTACTTACATTATGGCATAAACGACATTAATTTATGATGATGACAGGAAGCATACTAAAGAATGCCTAACTGGATTGATGGAAGAACATAAAAACTTCATCAACAAAAGTAGTACGATACATCAAACAAACAATTGATATCCTTTCAGATCTAAAGTACATAAAGAAATATCTAGATCACGTAGCGAAGAGATCAAAGAACACATGTCTAAAGCTTTAATACCATATTCAAAGAAGTGGGGAGATTTATACCTCGGATCGGTGCTCCAATATGCAGCTAGCAATGAGGGGCTTGGATCCCAACAATGGAGAGAACTACAATGGACGAGACTCCACCACACTGGTCACGACGCACACTACAACTTCTAATCAATCCCATAAGTCGTTGCCAATTTGTATATGTGAAAAATGTGTTGAGATGAAACCTCCACCACTATTTATAGTGAGAGCTTTGATTAAGGAATAGAATCAAATAGTTAATGGCCAAATCTCCATGAATAAGAATAT